CCCCCCCCCCCCCCATGCTCCTGTGGGACGCTTCATCTGCCCCAGCATCTCAGCATTCATGAGCCACCTGGTACCTTGAGGTATGTAGAAAAAACATTTAAAGCTGTGTCTGTCTGAAGTGTCTTGACTACTGAGGTAGAGTGGGTGCATCTACACATGCGCATTACTGCAGAGTTGACTGAGTAGCTTTTCAGTAAAGTGTCAATGTCCACACATCCACCCATATTAGGGTGTAGTAAATTAATTAACTCCTTCAGAGAATTGTACTGTCTGGGACATATACTATCCTATGGTAGAGTAATTTACACTGCCACAATATACATGTAGACAGTGACTGGGGCTGACTGGGAAACAAGGGTGCTACAGTGAGAGGGCTGCCTGCCGGCTTGAATTACCGTGATCCTGGGGACCTGTATAAATGCTGTGCCAGGGGGAACTGACTCTGGCATGAACTGCACCAGAGTTTATTGTGTTGGGGTAATTGCACATGTAATGCACCCAGTCTGACTCCTCCTTGCTTGCTTTCCTTCTGGACACATGATGCTCACATTCATTGTTATACAGTGATCTATCTTCAACAAGAGGGGTAGAAAGTGTTCTCACCTACCTTAGGCTGGTGGTTAGGGTAAATCAGAAGATGTGGATTTGAATCTTTTTAGGAGACTAAGAAACTTGAACCCAGGACTCCTATGTCATGAGCAACTGCTCTAACCAGAAGGCCATTACAAAATAGTAGGTCATCCTCTGTTGGCCATGTTTGCTTTTCTGCTGGAGCCCAGAGCTGCAACAATTAACGCTGCCACCACTCTGCTACTGCCAAATTTCCAGCCCCCTAGTGAATTCCAGCATTGACTCGTGAAGCCAGGCCAGCATGCCAGATTGCACCCACAGACTGGCCTGTGGACCCATCTCTTTGCCTGTCATCCAGCCTGCAGGGCCAGTTAGGCTGAGTACTACTGTGCTAGACTCAAGCTAAAGGCTACCTCCCACCTCTCTATTTCCATAAATGACCTAGTTGTAAACATGTACTGAGTCATTCAGGCTAAGAAGTCAAGACTGGTCAGATTTAATGTTGTTTCTATCATGCCT